AATGATTGGTACAAAACAATTATTGTCATTGATCAGCACCGAACAGATAATTTTAAACAAAGTCATTGTGTGCTCAGCAGATTACAGCTTGTTAACAGGCAAGTTCTAAATGACCTCTTAAGCTAGTGAAATCAATGATGCATATTCCTCATTAAGTAACATCAAAATGTAAGTGGTCTTATAAATAATGTTTATTTTAAGCACTAAAACAAATGGTAAAACCTTGATATATCAAAAGCCATCTGCTCATGGAGATTTTTTATATGATTATTTTATTTTGAGAGGATTATTTTGGTTGCTGAATATTCACAGCAACCTTAAATTGTCCAGACAGAAAGACAAAAATATATCACAGCTCAATATGCAAAAAGTAAAACTGATTCATGGAAAATAAATTCAATATGATAAGCTTATATTTTAATCAATTTCTGAATGTTACGCTTTTTATGGAGGTCAGAGACAGATAACAGTGACTAGGGCCAAAGAATCTAGAGAGATGGAGATGGGAGTCATTTTTTGAACATGACTGCAGTGAATATACCTTAGTATTGAATGTTACTCCTACCATGGGCATCTGGTGGCTTAGGTGAGGGAAGGCATTGCCTTCTGAAACTGCCAACCAGGCCCTGCACACACTCTGCCCCCAGAACACCTGTTGTAGGAGTTCTGAGGATGGAGTGTTGCTGCTCACAGGGCCTACCCTCCCTGTATTCCGGGCTGGGGAGGCTGGAACTACGCAGCCGCCTCCCTCTCAGTAGCTCCAGGAGCCACACTGCATAGCCTCCTCTCTTCCCCGCAGTGTTCCAGGGAGGCAAGGGAGCCATGCACTGCACACATGCTCCTTCCCCTCTCTTCCCCTCCCCCGCTGCTTCGAGGAGGTGGGAGAGCTGTCCTGCATGCTCACGCTCCCTCGCCTCTCTTCCCTTCCCTGGTGCTCTGGGGAGGCCTGGGCGCACTCAACGCACTGCCCTGCCTCCTCCCCTTCCGAGGGGGACGCATTCAGCAAACTGCCCACCCTCCACTCCTGAGTCTCCTAGCCCCAGATGCACCAGCCACCCAAGATTCCTACCTACTATTAAAGTTTTAGGTCTTTTTCTGAGCAAACACAGGAAATGTAATCAACTAGTCTGATAGCCCTGGTCGACACTAGGGAATTATTTCAAAATAACTCCCCCTATTTTGAAAGAACAAGGTAAGCGTCCAAACTACCAAGCCCGTTATTTCAAAATAAATGTCTTGTTATTTTGAAATACTAACTCCTGCTTCTAAAGAGGAATAACACTTATTTCAAAATTGTTTTTTTGAAATACTGTAAGTGTGGACACTCAGCTGCTATTTTGAAATAATTGGCCTCCAGAGGCTTCTCACAGCTGCCCTTGTATTCCCATTCTCAGCAGTCTTTAAAGCTCAGCCCCATGATGCTCTCACACAGGGACTCCTTGATCCTTCTCACAAGGTTCCTGGAGAGATCTGCCTTACTCCAGCCTCCATGGTGGGACACCGTCCCTCAACAAGTCAACACTAAGGAGGCTGGGGTCATGGAAACACACAGCAGTGCTGCTTACAGCACAGAGTCATGCCCTCACTTAGACAGCATCCACTCCCGGTCAAACATGGCAATGTGGAGGATACCAATCCCCTGCATGGAAACCTGCCAGAGGGAGGAAGTGAAAGGGAACCTAGTAACACACTCTTCCACAAGTGACCTCTGTCATTCACACACACCTCTCCCAATACCCTTTCCCCACAGTGGGCAGGGACAGAAATTCCCTCTCTATGGGATGCAGCCAGTGATGGATCCTGTGTGTGTGTGGGATGCTGAAGGAAGCTGAGCTACCCCATCCCCTGCTCCTGCCAACAAGCTTCTGGCTTGGACGGCACATTTCCAGGCCTGCTTGTCCCCAGGATGTAGAGGTGCCGAGGCTCCCCTGGGATGTCCGTGCCCCTGCAGAAAAGTGTCCGTTGTATAGGCAACAGATGGCCTTACTTGAAGCACATCACTTTGAGTATCAGCTGAGGGATCAAAACTAGGCTTCTTGAACAGTGTCTCCTGGAATGACTGCCCATGTCACTTTTCTTCTCAGCTGGGGCAGCTGCAAGCATGGCGTGCAAGCTCACAGCAGGCTGCCACCACCGGGGGGATGTTGCACTCACTGAAGTCCAGACTGGTGATGAGACCCTGGAGCCTTCCCTTTACATGGCCAAATGCACACTCCACCACCATGTGATACTTGCTGAGCCTGGCCTTGAAGTTTTCTTTGGTGGTGTCCAGGCTGCCCATGTAAAGCTTCATCAGCCAGGGGAGCAAGGGATAGGTTTGTTGCTCAGGATGCACATGGGCATATCGATGTCCCCAACCCTGATGGTGCCGACAGGGGAAAAAGTGCTGGCGTTCATCCTATGGAAGAGGCTCAAGTTCTGGAATACGTGGGCATTATGCACATTCCCTGACCACCCAACGTAAATGTCCATGAACCGTCCATTGAAAAGTAACCCTTTCTATTGATGTATTCAGAAGCATGGTGGTCGGCAGCCAGGATGGAGATGTGGATGTCATCAAAACCCCGCTCCTGCAGTTGGAGAAGCCCATGGCAGCAAAGCCAGCGATGATGGGGTCCAGGTTGCCCAGGGCGATGACCCTCCATAGCAGGATGGCATTGATGGCTTTGACCACCTATTGAATCATAGGGTTATAAATGACCTCAGGAGGTCACCAAGTTTAACTCCCTGCTCAAAGCAGGACCAGTCCCAACTCAATCACCCTAGCTAGGGCTTTGTTAAGCTGGCACTTAAAAACCACTAGGGATGGAGAGTCTACTACCTCCCTAGGTAACCCATTCTAGTGCTTCACAAGCGTCCTAGAAAAATAGTGAAATAGTGAAACTTGCATGAGCACAGCCCCGACTCTGGATTTCCCCACACTGAACTGGTTCCCCAGGAGCAATTGCTGGTTGGCATGGCGAGCTTCCATAGGCTGATGGCGACACACTTCTGCAGGGGGTGGAGGGTCGCAGATGAGTGTTCTATCACCTGAGGGCAGGAGCGAGCCACTCATAGAGCTCCAGGAATGTGGCCTTCCACATGCAGAAATTCTGGAACCACTGCTGGTTGTTCCACCACTGCAGGATGATGCAGTCCCACCAGTCAGAACTAGTCTTCTTCTGCTAGAAGTGGCCTTTGACAGTGTGCAAAAAATGGAGGGGAATTAGGTGCATCATGAGCACCAGTGCCTGGGTGAAAAGGTCTCCTGGTCTGAGCTGCTCATTGTGGTCCTGAAGCATTATGTGGGCAGTATGCATGGAGTGAGCCATGAAGCTCAGCATGAAGCCCAAGAGCCTGGCATTGCTTTGCAGCAAAATAAAGAGGCCAGAAGAAAATGAAGATCTCATTCCAAAGATTATTCATGGGCTTAAAGAAACACATATGCTTAAATGTGTTGTTGGCTTAGTACCCAGTGGTCCACGAATGTAATATTTTATCCTTTAATCACTTGTGTAATGGATACAATAGATTTTGCAGTTTTCCTTTTGAGAAACTTTATTATTCTCTATTTTTATTAAATGAAGTACAAGAATTGTTTGCATTCTTCTTTGACTAAAGAATTACTGATTATATCATCAATGAGGTTTACACATTCTATTCCTATGCATTTAGTCACTTGTATTCATTTTGTTGCGTCTGTGACAGGGTCATGCCAGGCACTAACATGTATCCGATTTCTCTTACAAAAGGTATAAATAGCAGAGCATTTTCCTGTACTTCCTGTAGAGTTTAAAATATTTGCAATATTATAAACTAATGAAGTAATTACATTGTCCATTACAAGACCAAAGATACTGTCATATAATAGCTGCTCAGTAACCTGGGTGAAATGCATTTTTTGGTCTGGTTCCTAGCGAATAAGTATCCACACTGCACAAACTACCATTGCTATTTGCCACCCTTCCTGACAGTCTCATCAGAGAAGAATGGGCCTGGAGACTGAACTACCCAACCACCTGTATTCCTGCAGTATAAGGATAAAGGCTGTGACCACTGTCTGTTTTCACTTCCTCTCAGAGATATCCAATAGCTTCCAGTTTCCTCCTACACACTGATTCATTGGTCCACATCTCAACCAGTTATAAATATGCCCAATTTGCTAGTCAAAGGTAGATAGGTAAGAGAAAAGAAATGCACAACTTAAATTGGAATGTAAAGCAGATGATTTTCCATATGAAACAATCAGACTTATAACAGAATTAGAATATCGTTAAGTTGAGACAAAATCTAGCTATTAATTAACTGTCTTTGCAGGTGTTATAGGCTATTAAAGTCTACTCCACTCAGTTCTTTCCTGACTGATTAAAACCACAATGTTAGTAAAAACAAACATTCTTGGTGTTGTTATAAGTTTATTTTAATTGACCCAAATGTATTTTGCAAATTGATTCAATCAGATGCCCTATCAATTCATGGGGGTAATGTGCTCTATGAATATTAAACTACTGCAGTTCATAAAAGCTGAAATATGGCAGTGACTAATATGACATACTACCATATTATCTAATAATACATAAATTCATGGAAGTTCTACTAATTTATTACAAAACAATAGAACGGAAAAGTTAAGTTAAAGATGTTATAGACAAAGATATCACAATATGATTTGGACGAGTTAGGCAAAGTTGTAATTTACAGAGATGGGAATTCAGCTTACGTTTGAACATTTACACATACATTCATGCAAATATGTGGGTTACTTTTTGGTATTTTCATCTTTTATCACCCTACATTAAATGGTACAAGAATCTACATACAAATGTCTTAAATCTAGCAGTAATTTTCAAATACCACCATGATTACTTAGTGTAACTTTAATTTTTAACTATATGCTATTTCCTCCCCTTTGCCATCAGCATATCAATCAAGTTTATATATTCTGGTTTGCTCATTTTATTAAAAGCAAATTCAGAGCACAATTGACTTTTCATTTGTTTAACAAGTGAAGAAATATTTACCCTGACAGCCATTTCATTGTAGAAATTCATCTTCATAATAAAATATGCTGTCTGTGAATCAAGAAAAAAAAGATGGCATACATTTCAGTTACACAAAGACAGTGCTCCTAGTTTTACATATAAAAGATAAGAATCTTTATACATAATACATAATAAGAGTTCTAGGCATAGAAAGAATAAAATCAAACTTTATATTGAAGAGATAGGCTTCCTAATACATAATGCAGGCTTAACCAGAAAAATCTATGGTAGTCAAACTAGGAGCTAATGGAGATATATGATCATAAAATGCTCTCCGCTGAGTTTGATAATCAATGGTGCCCTACTGAGAGTAGAATAACAAAGCAGAAATATTCACAAGTGCTGGTGACACGTAGTATTATATGATTTATTCACTGGGGTTCTTTTAGCCAAAACTCATAGAAACATAAAAGGAATTCATATTTCAAGACGTCTGATTTAATGAAAAATTCAAAGAAATGCTGTCTTCAGTTGAAATCGTTCAAGGATCTGGATGCGGTGATGGAGCAAAATTGTGCCTTCCAACCATCTGTACTAAATGTTATGTACTTAGCAGCCTCCCGAGTAATTCTGGGAATTTTGTTTCATTTAATATTCATTTTAACATCATAAGATCATAAATACAATGATACCATGTTACAGTGAATCCCCTGATATAGACAACATTTCCTAAAGTCTTGGTTTCCTTCCAATAAAGTTGAATTCCTCTCATAGTGAACAGATCCCCTGTTCTACTGAACAATCACTTGGCAGCATAGGTTATTTTAATGGATACATCACTTTAAACTAAGCTTTCACATCTGTTCTGCCCTCTAATTACAAATGCAAAATGAACATAATTCACAACTGTATCATAAAAAGTAAAATATAAGTACTTTAAATGCAAGTGTATGTTCTTTATTTAGCACAACAGGCGGCTTTTATGTTTTTTTCACATATTTTAGAGACAAAGCAAAGGCAAAAGTGCTTTTCCCTGATATAGTGAATTTTCTCCCCATGGCAACAAGAATTCACTATAAAAGAGTTTCGCTGTAATTAGTGTTATTTGAATTGCCTACTCTGATCCAAAGCAAATTGTCTGTGGAGAGCAGCAGGACTGGATTATTTATCAACAGTCTGGGCAATTAAGAAACAGTTGGCTGCAATATGTTATTTACAAATGAACACAATGATGCTACTTCATTTTAAATTCTCTTTCTTCATTATATTAAGTAATGCATAAGTCCTGCAGTTTAATTAAAGTGCATTTTAAATACTTTCTTAAATATTATACTGTTCACTAATAATAGAAACATTTGCAAAGATGCAATATTTACGCCAAAAATTGCAGGAATTCTAATGTTTTAAATTTGAAAAATTTTACTTTCTATGGAAAAATATTTCAAACAGTAGCTCACAATTATGAATTAGATCAGTTAATGGCATCTGTCTTAACTTTTCTCTCCATAAATCTTTAATGAATGGTGTTAGCTCTAGACCACAAATATAGTAATGAAATATTGCATTCCATTCCCAGGAATATTCTGAAGCTGTTAAGATTAAATGGATTCAATTTTGCTTCACCGCTCATCTTTTCAGATTTAGAAAGAATGCAAAAGCTCTTGCTGGTACAGCCCATTAATGAATTATTTGTTGTTGAAAGTAGCTAGGGTCAGAAATGACCTTGGGACTCCTGTTTTGCCACTAAGCAAAAATAGTTTAAAACACCTTTTTAACTCTTCTCCTGATCTGCTGAGGAAATTCCACTTCTGAATGCTGAGGACACCTAGGCTGTGTCTACACTGGCGCGATCTTGTGCAAAAGCAGCTGCTCTTGTGCAAAAACTTGCTGCCTGTCTACACTGGCCGTGTGTTCTTGCACAAGTAAACTGACATTCTAATGTATGAACTATGCGCAAGAACTATGATGCTCCCGCTCAGGAATAAGCCCTTTTGCGCAACTATTCTTGCGCAAGAGGCCAGGGTAGACAGGCAACATGAATTTCTTGCGCAAGAAAGCCCTATGGTTAAAATGGCCATCAGAGCTTTCTTGCGCAAAAGAGCATCTACACTGGCAAGGATGCTCTTGCGCAAAAGCACATCTCTTGCGCAAAAGCACATGCCAGTGTAGACGCTCTCTTGCACAACTACTTTAATCCAAGAACTCTTGCACTAAAGAGTTTTTGTGCAAGATCACGCCAGTGTAGATGTAGCCTTACTCTTCTGAGCCGGAACACTGTTAAGGAAGGTCACTCACCTAAAAAGGTGCCTTATAAGAGCGTGATCTTACAAAAGCATGGCACTAAGGCACAGATCACTCACATGAAGAACTACTTAGACAACTTCCCTTGCTTCACAATTCTATACCTGAGGTATAGAGAAAAGGCGAGGGCCTTTTCTCCCTTCTCAAAATGTGTATCCTGCCTAACTCTCTCCAAATCCTCTCACAAGAACAAACAAAAAAACCCACAACTGTCCACATCAAGCAAAACACTCCATACCATCTACACTACCATGTTATTTTGAAATAATAACTCCCGAAATAACTATTTCAAAACAAGCTTATTCCTCTTCACAAGCAGGAGTTGATATTTCAAAATAACAAGCCCATTTCTTCAAAATAATAGACATATTAGTGTGGACGCTCACCTTGTTTTTTTTCCAAATAACTCCCCAGTGTAGACATGCCCTTAGGGACTAATACCTCTACTTTCCCTCTCTTCTACAAACTTCTTCCTCTGACAAGAGTAACAAGCTAGTAAAAATCCCAGCTGATTAAACCATCATGTATTCAATCCTGCAAGAACTATAAGTCTCACACACAAAATTTTGGACCTTACAACTTTAGGAGCTTCACAACTCAAGATCCAAGTGCAGAAGCTAGCCAAATGGGTAACAAGTTTGTTTCATAGATATGGTAACGGCATCCTAAGATTCAGTTGAAGGAAATAAAGACAGAGAAAAGTTTGCTTATCTAGACATAACAGCATTTTAACTTTTTTAATTGTACAGGTGACTATGGAAACAAGAGAATGAAGGAAGTAAGAACTGTAACAAATGTAAGGGAACTGTTAGCCCCTCACTAAAATTCAGTGGGAGTTTTTGGTTGGCCAGCTCCCAGTACCAAAAGGGGAAGGGTCCATGAGAAATCAGGGCCCTGAGACGGACAGACCCCAGAGACAATGGAAAGCAGCCAACACTCCAGCTCAGCCTGTTTGACAGGTTGGACAGGCCAGTGAGAAAATTAAGAGGCCAGGTCCCATCCTCTGTGTGAACTGGGATTTTCTGGGTCTCTCTGAGAGAAAGCAGAGAGAACTAAAAAGAGCAGGAAGAAGAGCAAGCTGTGTGGAGAGACAGACCTGCAGTGCCAGAGCCCAAGGAGCCCAGACCCTGTGCTAAGGGGCAGTCCTGCAGCAACAGAACCAGGCACACACAGCCCAAGGAGTGCAAGCTGTGCTGAGGGGCAGTTTTGCAGCAATAGAGCCAGGCACACACAGCACAAGGAGCGCAGACCCTGTGTTGAGCAGCAGACTTGCAGTGATCAGAGAGCCAGAGGGGACAGAAAAGCAACACAAGGAGCTGGAGACTGGCAAAGCAGCACAGCCTGCAGCTGGGTGTGGTGAGCAGCTGGGACCAGCAATGGGGGGGGAGAGGCTCTGGGCAGAGAGACACCACCAGCCAAGAGGCCCCGCAGGCCAGACTGGGAGAGGGGTCCTGCCACCTAGAGCCTGAGGCTGTGTGGTCACTGCCAGAGCAAGCGTGTCCAGCCTGCAGCCCCCCTGCAGCACAGCCAGGGCCTCAGAGAGAGCCCAGGAACCTATAAGGAACAGACTGTGAACTCTCCTTACACTCTGCAGTCTGCTGTTTGTGATGTTCCCATGCTACAGAGCAGGACTCTGTGTTCTCATTTAACTTTTCTCATAGACTCATAGACTTTAAGGTCAGAAGGGACCATTGTGATCATCAGGACTCGCCGAACCACGGCGAGCCCCACTCGCCAGCCGTGCCTGAACCCAGCTCTTCTGGGTTGCCATCTACTCGCCACAGATTGCACAGTGCAGGCCACAGAATGTCACCCACCCTCTATAATCTTCTTACCTATCTCTCAGATATTGAAGCTCTCAAATGGTTTAAGGACCCCAAGATGCAGAGAATCCTCCAGCTCCCTGCTCCCACTTCCTTTACCCAACAGCCTCCCTGACTCTGAGGGCTTTCCTTCCATTCTCCTGAGTAGCAGAGTCCTCGAAATCCCAACAAGGCTGGGCCCAGGTTTCCTGGGGCTTAATCCCTGACCTTGTAGTCACTTGGGGTAGGGGCTAAGGTGTCCCCACTCCGGGGTGCTCTCTTCATACTGCATGCTTTCTTGACCCAGTGATCAATTTGTTAAACATCAAAGCTGTGTCTAGACTGGCAAGTTTTTCCGCAAAAGCAGCTGCTTTTGCGGAAAAACTTGCCAGTCTAGACACAGCTTTGATGTTTAATAAATTGATCACTGGGTCAAGAAAGCATGCAGTATGAAGAGAGCACCCCGGAGTGGGGACACCTTAGCCCCTACCCCAAGTGACTACAAGGTCAGGGATTAAGCCCCAGGAAACCTGGGCCCAGCCTTGTTGGGATTTCGAGGACTCTGCTACTCAGGAGAATGGAAGGAAAGCCCTCAGAGTCAGGGAGGCTGTTGGGTAAAGGAAGTGGGAGCAGGGACTCATCCTTTCGTTGGTCCATTTCACTGGGGTAGTAGAGAAGCCAGGAAAGTTCCCCACAATAGCGAGACCATTCCCCCGCTTACACAAAGAGAGGAAATGTTAGTTTATGATCCCTAGAGGAAAAACACTGGATCCTCTGGGAATAAAATGCAAACATCCCATCAAGCCTCTGGGTTTCAACATGGAAAAGGAAGAGGAAGTTACTCACCTGTGCAGTGACTGATGGTCTTTGAGATGAGTGTCCCTGTAGGTGCTCCTCATTAGGTCAGTGTGCTGCTGCTGAGCCCATTCTCTGGAGTCTTCAGATCAGTGTCCCTGAGGCCATGCATGCACAAGCCTCAAACCATGT